GAGATTTTAAAGCATAATGAGTCCTCGTGTTCCTCCGGCCACCATTTAACAACATAACCAGAAATCTGCAGCATTTTTTAGGTGTAATTTTGAGCCTGTGTAGAACTGGAACTTGTGAGGGTTGTCTTTACACCTTCCATTTGTGGTTTAAAGCTCAAAGAGGTGCTCCTGGCCTAATGTCAGGTTTGAGGGGATTAATTCCTTTCTCACTACAGCGTCACCGACAGTCCTTCTGGAACAGCAGGGATGTGCTCCGCAGCTTTGTGTTTTAAGAGCTTTTACTAAATCTAGATTTAGCAGAAAAGAGATGTTTAAGTAAATGTATGCTTCCAGAATTGGTGGGTATAGGGTGCAGAAGCTAAAATTGAAAATAATTGGACAACAGCCTGTTCTCCTTTAAAGAAAGCTGGCTGAATGCTGAGAAGCCACATACAATAGTGTTAAGTTCCATTATTATGCGGCCTGTGAAACCGTTTGGTATTGTCGTCTTCTTACCATCTGCAAACAATTTCTGCCCATCATGGTCCTATACTTTACATAAGGACAGCCTGAGGATCTTAAGGAGGGACAACATAGCAAATCCATGCTTTAAAACAACTGCATGCTGGACGGACTTTTGTGTTTAAGAAAATTTCCAAAGCAAAGGAAAGAAAGCTTTAGCACTGAGATTCCAGGAAAAAAAACCAAACAACCAACCACTCAATTGCTTGGTGTTTCCAATCTCAGTATACAAGTTAGATTATCATTTATTTTATATTTCCCCAAATCTTTCTGTAAGGACCAGAAATGCAGTTTATCTTTCCAATCAGGGAATTTTCCTTTGTGTTTCAAAGCAGGTATCCTTAATGCTTGTTTCAGGAGTCTTTTCAAGCACTTCCATTGCAATTGCTGTATTTTTTAATCTGTCCATGAACTATGTAGCCACTCTTCATTCTGTGCTGCTCTAAAAAAGCAAAATTCCCTACAAATCTTATGCAACCAGCACAAGCAGAATGAAATTCTATCCCTGCTGAAGACACTGGGAGCTGTGCTTTTGACTTATAGATTTAATAATTTTCCCACCAACTCCAGTTCATTCTTGCCTTGTACTGAAAATTAGTAGTCACATCAATCAATGTAAAGCTGATGTAAAGACAGATGATGGAATTTCTGCTAAGTCCTGCCAAGTCATTTCCTTTTTTTTTTTTTTTTTTTTTTTTTTAGCAGGAAAAGTCAGGATTTAACTGCCAAGAGGTAGGTATGAGGTGCAGAGACAATCTTTCTCAAGATGGTATTAACCCTTGAACATTACATTGGTGCTTCATCCTGTTAAAAACAGCACACGGGACTCCCTAGGTGACAAGCTCGCTGTCTGCAGTCACAGTCCATCAGTCATCCGTACTCTGATGCACAGAAGGATGCATAAATGACAATCACTTTCAAACATACTGTAACTCAAATGCCCCATGGGTAAACAGTGGGAGAAATAAAGCACAGACTATCATACACCTGGGCTGTTTAACGGTAACGTAGATAATAAGGCAGGAAAGGTGTATTTTAATCTCACATTTCACGGAGAGAAACAGGCTAGGAAAGCATATGGCTTTGCTCACAGAGGCGACTCTGTTGCTGATACATTTTCACACCCTTTCTGCAGTCCCTTGCAGCCATAAACATAGAGTAGTTGCATTCAGTTTTTAGAGAATTGTATTAGAGCCTTCTCTGTGCTGTTTGCAAATCGAAGCCAGCCAGCTGGCACAGAGGGAAACAGGCTATGCTCTACTTCTTTGCCCCCCACAGCACACTGAATCATTTCTCCCAATTAAGGGAAAGTTTATTTTAAAAGACTTTGGGGATCCCTTTAGATCTTTAGAGAAAGCTGGCTGTACCACCTTTACTTTGTACCTCCTTGAAACACTAAAAAAGCCCAAACATGCTATTTCATTTTTCTTAAAAGGATTCTCGAAGGTGATTTGCATTTCAGCTGTGTGCAGCCCTGGGGGCACAGGTACCACAATCTTTTGACACCAAAAAGAGTGCATGGCAGCTGATGTTACTGCTGCTGCCAGGAGATAACAGTGAAAATTGTGGAGGTCTTAGTATGGACATTTGTGGGGGAGAACATCAGGCCAGCACTCGGCTGGGCTTCAGGTGCACTCTGGGGAAGGGAATCCCTTGGTAGAAGATACATTAAATCAAGACCTGTTAGGCCAGCTAATAAAGGTGAGTAAAGCTGAGATATGGTCTGTATGCAGTATGCCTGGCAGGAGGGACTGCTGCAACCTGCTAGAGAAAGGAGCTGATGCAAAGAAGAGGAAAAAAAAAAAAAAAAATGTGGTGATAGCTCTGTCTTGCTATTGAGTTTTCTCTAAAAATAAACTGAGATGTTATTTGAGCTCTTCCAAAATGTAACATGCAGAAACTACAAGAAGAATTAGGACAGAGCGGTGAAGGAGAGAGAGAAAGGTCAGCAGACTGGCCGCGTTTGGCGCTGTGGCTCCTCAGATTACTTGGTAATGCT